TACTACCGTACCTCTCAATTACAGTTCCACTGTTGTGTCACTGTATATCAACTTTCCTTCATAAAAACTAACGCCAAACGCTCTCGCACTTGCCGCTGCGAGTGTGCTGTGTCGCCATGATAATGATAATATATATATATAAAGTTTATATATAAGTTATATACTTTATCACTTGACTTTATATATTATCATTATTATCATTATCATATGGCGACACAGCACACTCGCAGCGGCGAGTGCGGGAGCGTTCGGCGTTAGTTTTTATGAAGGAAAGTTGATATACAGTGACACAACAGTGGAACTGTAATTGAGAGGTACGGTAGTAGGGCCTAGCTATTTGTGAATTTTCACTTATAGTTCATATTATTTTCAGTTTTTACTGACTGTCCCAAGTGCCTGTGATTTGCACAGTTCTCATTAGCTTCTTCTCTTAATTAAAGCTGTTGCCATGGCGATGGAGGCGAGTGAAAGCACTGAGACAACTGGTGGAACCAAACTTTTCGAGAATATTTTCAAATACAAGGGCGTTAATTTTATTTGCAACGAATTCGCGGATGACCCGATGAAAATGGAGAACATGAAATGCCGTGACGATGATGTCATAGTTGCTACATTCCCAAAGAGCGGTACGTGTAGTGTAATCGCCTCATAAATATCTGTATACTATATATATATATATATGTCGAAAATTCGTTATTTAGCAGTTGGCACTAAAATATTATTCTCGCGCAATCTGGGCATGCATAGAAAATGCGTTCTGTTGTAAATTCTTATCACCAGGGGCCAGTGTGCCTTGCTCCTTTTACACGCGTGTCCCTAACTCTAACCACTACTAGAAACATGAGCAACGCAAGCGCACTGTTCGGTCCATAGAAATAATATAGATAGACTATAGATAGTCTATCTATATTATTTGTATGGTTCGGTCATTTCCCTGTAATATTTGCTTGCACTCAGGAACTACATTCACCCAGGAGATAACGTGGCTGGTTTTACACGATGCAGACCCCAAGTCGAGAGACGGGAAAAACTTTGATGAGCGCATGCCAGAGATCGGATACAGGTTAGTGCGTGCGTGCGCGCGCGCGTTTGTGCATGTGTGCGTGCGTGCGTGCGTGCGTGAGTGAGTTTCTTTTTGACTGTAAATACACCCGCGAACACTTTTGCGCGTGCGTGTGCGTGCGTATGTTTTGCGTGTGTGCACTTGTCTGTGGGTGCGTGCGTGCGTGCGTGCACGTGCGTAAAATGCCAAGTGGTGCATCTACATGCCGACTCTATCCTCAGCATCGGCTTGCATTGCAGTTACCCCGGTAACAAGTACGTGCCACGGGACGAGATGGAGTCTCCGCGAATATTCAAAACGCACTATCCGTGGAGAACGCTCCCGCGGGAGGCTAAAGAGAAGAAGTGCAAGGTAGCCATGGGGGGGGGGTGTCTCCCCCGACGCCGCTGTGGGTCGGGGTCGGGGTTGGACAGG